TTTAAAACCGACCCGGAATACCTTGTGGATCATTGGGTTTCTAGGTCGATCCAAATCGAACTGGATGAACCACGGTTTAATAAATTAATATATACTATTTTTAATATAATATTAATGTTTTATAAATATATGAATAGGATTTTTAATAAAATAGAAGCTAACTTATATTTTTTCAGAGTTAACTATGTTAACAAAAACGTGAGCTATAGTTTTGTTCTTCTTTTATTGATCATAAACTAGGTATTTACCTGCGCTACGCTGCGAGATAACTTTCTAGATTTGTATATATTTTTAATATAATAAAATTATTTATATATTTTAAATGAGTATTATATTTATTTTTATTAGCTTAAGTTATGTATTTATATGTTCTAAATCTGAATAAATATTATATATCATTAAGTTTTTTATTTTTTAAAATTATAATCTACTATCAAATTTGTTTAGCTAACTATCTATAAATGTATATGTAAGAATAAAACAATATATTTTTAAGTACATTCGAGCTAATGGTAGATGTAATTTATTTTCTCTACTAAATTGCTACTTGATCCTATATTACCTCTGCAGACACTTTTTAGTAAACTCATTACATTTTAGGCACTTTCTGAAACTCACACACTTTGATAGTGCGACTTGTCGCTTATACCCTTACTTATTTTACCTTATTCTTTACCGGAAACAAAACATTGATTTAACCAATCAAAAATCTATGCCGTCACGAGCAATCTCGCCGCCGTCAGGAGCAATCTCGTCGCCGTCACTGCTGAATCCGCCGTCGTCAGGTCACCACGAGAGGACTATGCGCATCTTTGTTGAGATATGCGTATACGTGCATATCAAGTATGAATATTTGGTTGTACATACTTTAGGAATGTTTACATTATTCGCATATGTACATAAGGAAAACGACTTGTGTATATATCGCTGTAAGACATTCACAATCAATACAAGAAAACCATTCTATACTCTGTTTTCTTTACATGGTATCATAGCGGATTTAGGGAAATTCTCAAACACAAAACCTATTTTGATCCTCTTATTTTCTATACTATGAACCCTACCGGTGTTTTGGCGGCAGCAACGACATCAGAAGCGATGGTTCCCTCTCGCCGTACCATCTCTCCATACGACCTCTCACCAAGTGACAACCCTGGTTGTGTTATCTCACAACCTCTGCTTCGTGGACCAAATTATGATGAGTGGTCAGCAAACATACGACTTACGCTGATGGCTCGAAAGAAATTTGGTTTTGTTGACGGCACAATTCCAAAGCCAGCCGACAACTCCGGAGATCTTGAAGATTGGTGTTGCAACAACGCCTTGGTGGTTTCGTGGATCAAGCTTACATTGGATCCGTCACTGCGAACAACTCTACAGGCAGCCGACGTAAGTAAGGATCTATGGGAGCACATTCAAAAGAGGTTCTCGGTGAAGAACGGAGCCATGATTGGAAGAATTAAGGCAGATTTAGCGATGGCTCGACAAAATGGAAAATCTATCGAGGCTTACTATGGCTACATGACTCAACTTTGGACGATGTTGAATGATTACCGTCGTCTTCATACCTGCAAGTGCGGACTCTGTACCTGCGACATAGGTGCTGAACTTGCAAAGGAAAGAGAAGAAGATCGGGTGTATGAATTCGTTCGGGGTCTCGATGATGCATACACACATCTTCGTTCTGCCTTGATCTCACGTGTACCATTCCCAACACTTGACGAAGTGTATTTTACTCTTACTCAAGACGAGGACAGCAGAATGGCGGCGGTGGCACCAGATAGCCGTGTTGATGGTGTAAGCTTTACAACTCAAACAGTGCCTCGTAATCGTGGCACTGTGACAGATAAGAATCGTTCTGGAGCGATAACTGGTTCGTGCAAGAGCTGTGGCAGAACAGGACATGTGGCTCAGCAATGTTTCCGTACCATTGGGTATCTACCTTGGTGGGGGAATCGTCCACGTAATACAGATCGAGTTGGTGTGGATTCCCGAAATAGAGCACCCACGTCTGCAAACGCCGTTGCATCTACCTCAGGAACAGGTCATTCGGCTCATGCTACTCTCGGAGATGATGATCGTGTGGGCTTGAGTGGACTTACTGACGTGCAGTGGAAAGGACTCATTGCAATGTTAGCTGAACGATCCGTCGATGGACAACCCCGACTTTCAGGTAACTCCTTTTACGAATCTTGGATTTATGATACGGGTGCTTCCAATCACATGACTGGAAGCATTGACTATTTAGACGATATACGGCCTATGACTCCTATCATGATCAAGCTACCAGATGGACGAATTACTGTGTCTAAGCAACAAGGGACAGTTAAATTGGGTAGTCAGATGTTGTTGCAGAAAGTTTTCTTCGTTGATGGTTTGCGATGTCATCTCATATCAGTCTCTCAGCTAGCTTATGATAGTGGCTGTGTTTTTCAACTTACTGACAAGCTGTGTGTTGTCCAGGACCGCATCATGAGGACCCTGATTGGAGCGGGTGAACAAGTGAGTGGATTGTACTTCTTTAGAAGCATGGAGTTCGCCGGTGCGATGGGACACACTACCAAGGTGTCTTCCAGTGTGTGGCACAGGCGATTAGGACATCCTTCTTCTAAAGTTGTATCGAAGCTACAAATATCTGGTTTTTCTGATTTAGATGATTTTGATAGCAAAGCGTGTGAGATTTGTATCCGCGCCAAGCAAACCCGTGATGTTTTCCCCCTAAGTTGCAATAAAACTACTGAAGCTTTTCAATTAGTCCACTGTGATCTTTGGGGTCCATATCGATCTCCAGCTATGTGTGGTTCTAGATACTTTCTTACGGTTCTTGATGATTATACACGTACCGTATGGATCTACCTCTTACCATCAAAACTTGGGGCTCCGACAGCATTGAAAACGTTTGTGGCTCTCATAGAACAACAATTTGACAAGAAAATTCGCACCATCAGAAGTGATAATGGCTCTGAATTTATCAGTTTATCGCCTTTTTTCCAAGAAAAGGGAATCATACACGAAACTTCATGCGTTGCAACTCCACAACAGAACGGACGTGTGGAACGCAAGCATCGTCACATACTTAACGTAGCTCGAGCTTTGCGTTTTCAAGCACACTTACCCATCGAGTTTTGGGGACACTGCGCATTGACTGCCGGCTATCTCATAAATCGGACTCCCTCAAGTGTTCTCAACGGAAAAACACCTTTTGAGATGCTCTACGATCGTCCTCCACCTCTTGAGCATCTCTGGGTCTTTGGTTCATTGTGTTATGTTCACAATCGAGCTCACGGTGGTGACAAGTTTGCACCATGCAGTCTGAAATGTGTCTTCATAGGGTACCCCTTCGGCAAGAAAGGGTGGAGAGTATACGATCCAATCACAAAGAAGGTTTCAGTCTCACGAGACGTTTTGTTTTGTGAAGATGAGTTTCCGTTTCAAAACAGTTTTGTCCCATCTCCACGAGCGGATCCTCCTACACTATCTACTCCACTACATGATGATGATGATGATCTTGTTGTGCCCTCACCACAGATATGTGAGGATTATCCACCTACTATTGATCTTGAAGTTGCTTCTCTGACAAGAAACACAGATGCAGCTAACGAGAATGGCTCTCCGCCTCCCACTTCTGATGAATTAGAAGTGCTCTCTCCTGCAACACCTACGGTGATAATTCCTCATCAACTTGGACGTGGATTCCGGCACAAGAAAGTTCCGGCTAAATTTAAAGACTATGTTCCTCACAATGTCGTTACCATGCCGTGCTCCGAGACTACTGTGTTATATCCTATATCAGAGTTTGTCAGTTGTGATCGTTTCTCAGTCTCTCATCAAGCTTATCTACATGCCATCACCACCAACATTGAGCCCAAACATTATTCTCAAGCCATTAACGATGATGTTTGGACTGGTGCTATGAAAGATGAGGTGGTTGCACAAGAAGACAATGGGTCATGGACAGTTGAAACACTTCCGAAAGGAAAGAAAGTACTTGGGTGTAAGTGGATTTATCGGATCAAATATAACTCGGACGGCACTATCGAACGTTATAAAGCTCGTCTTGTCGTACTTGGGAACAATCAAGTAGCTGGTGATGACTATGACGAGACATTTGCACCAGTTGCCAAGATGACAACAGTACGATGCTTTCTTGAAAACTCTGCTGCTTTGAACTGGGAGGTGTATCAGATGGATGTGCATAACGCGTTCTTGCACGGCGACTTGCATGAGGAGGTATATATGCGCTTACCTCCGGGATTCCATGCGGCAGATAAATCCAAAGTTCTGCGTCTCCGTAAGTCACTTTACGGCTTAAAACAAGCCCCTCGTTGCTGGTTTGAGAAGCTCACTACGGCTTTGAAAGACTATGGATTCGAGCAAACTCCGGCAGATTATTCACTCTTTACGTATACAAAAGGTGTGGTTCGTATCCATATTCTCATATATGTCGATGGTTTGATTATTAGTGGCAGTTCATCTTTGGCAGTGCAAGAGTTCAAAGATTATCTAGGCTCTTGTTTTCGCATGAAGGATTTGGGGATTCTGAAATAATTTCTCGGTATCGAGGTTGCACGCAATGCTTCAGGCATATACTTATGCCAGCGAAAATATGCTCTTGATGTGCTTACGGAAGTTGGTCTTCTCGGCGCCAAACCGGTTAGCTTCCCTCTCGAACAGAACCATCGACTAGCATTAGTTGATAGTGATGACATGTCTGATCCTGCTCCATACTCGCGCAGCTTACGGTCGTCGGCGCTGGGTTCTCTCTCTCTTCATCTCACTCTCTGTCTGCAAATTTAGCCGCAAACGTCGATCCTCTAAGGCGGTAGATTCCTCCTCTTCACTGTCGCCTAAGAGAATTTAGATTCGTATTCTGAATCGACGAATTTTTGGGTTTAGTTGGGATAAAATATTTGCAACATCATTTATGGGCTCTGTTTTGTTTAGAAGCTCTCATTAGTAAGTATGGTTATTGATTTTGTGAATAGATTTGAAGACCAACGATGCAGAAATTGGCTGATTTTAAGCTTCCTCGGTTCTTCAACTATCCTCCATACTTCACGTATGTCAATCTCTTCTTCAAGTTTTTTTTTATTCTTTTCTACCTTTCTATGGGTTGAAGAAAAGTCTGTTTCTTTTGTTTTCAGTTTGCAGCTTGTGAGGGACACTCGTGAGAAGCAAATACAGCTGTGGAAAGAGCTTATTTTGGATTACTGCAAAACCCAAAAAGTTTTCTTGATTGGCGTTGAAGAAGATTTCCCTCTCTTCTCAAACTCTTCCATTGATAGTATGATCCATTACTGCCTTTTCACCTGATTACATTTGGTTACGTGTTAGTCTTTCGGTCTTATAAACTGCAAAATGTTTTAACTTTAGATTGTTCATTCGTCTTTTAGCCTTCACTGTTAATCTTGTGGCTTTCTGTGTTTTCAACTTTCAAGTGCTTGAGAACGTTAGTCGTATTTGATTCGTAGGAACTCTAAGCCATATGGCACATGTGGTTAGTTTATTGAATAACAATTTATTATTGATACTTTGTAGCAACACGAGATGAGATGGAGGGGAGGGGGATATCGAAGCAGTATTGGAATTGGAAGCTCAATTCTCTTCTCATTTCACCTAATATAGCATAGCCAATGTATAACTGAACTATTGTGACTATTTTCATGGTCATCTTCTCCGCCATATGTAACAAAATATTTCGAAAATGAACCAAGCAATATTGACCATACATGAAATTTTGACCACAAAACAATGACCACGCAACATGATAAGCTAACGAGAGTCCTCATATTCTCATAGTTCACGATTGACCATGAAACTTTGACCATGCAACATTGACTACGCAATATGCTTAGTTAATCAGAGTCTTCTTATTCTCATAGTTCACGATTGACCATGAAACTTTGACCAGGCAACATTGACTACACAACATGCTTAGCTAATTAACTAATTGGAGTCCTCCTATTCTCATAGTTCACCATGTGAAACTTTGACCATGCAACATTGACCACACAACATGGTTAGCTAATCGGAGTCCTCCTACTCTCATAGTTCACCATTGATCATGAAACATTAACCACGTACTATTGACCACAACATGTGCTTAACTAATCCATGTCCTCCTATTCTCATAGTTCACGACCACGCAATAGTGACCACACAATATCGACCATGCAATATTGACCACACAGCGTAAACAATTATCTTGTCACTGGTAGTCTGGCACAATGTATCTTCATCGTCTTCTCCGCCACACAATAATCAGTACCCACAAACACATGAATCGTAACTCCACCTCTTTGATAAAAATTTCCTTCAATTAAAAAATACCAATTCAGTTAAAAAGAATTTCTTTTAAATCAACTAAGAAGAACGTAACAAATTTACCGATTGAGCTTTCAGCCCAGAATGAAAAATGGTAGAACGATGGTAGTGCTGATTCTCACACCTTTGTTAACAAATGCCAGATTCTGGTTTAATTTCTAAGACCATCGACTGACTAACGATGGTAGAACGATGGTAATACGAGATTAGATCTTCAAAAAAAAAATCAGGTGATTATCTATGTCAGTCGACTTATACCATATGCGAAGAACAAAAAACTTTCGTCGGCGGCTGTTTTTTCATGATGTTCACGGCAGGAGTAAAAAACATCACAGCAATTAAGTTAATATTTTTAAAGGGTAATATGAGCATTTTATAACCAAAATAAGCTGCAAAGTGTCTCACTTTCAAAAAGTGTCTATATTTGAAATTAGAAGTGCGAAAGTGCCTTCGGTGGTAAATAACTCTCATTTGAACTTATATAAAGCAAATTGTCATTTAAAAAAATATTAATTAATCTAATTATTTTAAATTATAAAATTTATTTATTTATCAAATATTTATTATAGACATATGTTTCTAAAACTACCAAACTATAATCAATAACATTCATATCAAAATCATTACTATTACTTTAAAACTAAATAGAAAGTTCTATTTGAACTGTTGAAATATCAATTTAGTTGAAGTTAAATAATTCAAATTTGGTTACCATAAACATATTATAACTTGAAAATTTAACACAAAGAAATTTTATCTTTTTACAAAAACCGAGAAATTGTATTTTCCGATAAAACAAAAAAAATTATTTCCCACGAAACTGAGAAATCGCTTATTCCCGCCAAAACCAAAAAAAAAAATCATTTTCTCGTCAAACCTGAAATTTCATTTTCCTACCAAAACAAAGAAATTGTATTTTCCCTCAAAAACCAAAAAATCACATTTTCCCGCGAGAACCTGTGTTTTTCCGTCAAAACAGAAAAATTAAGTTTTTTCACCAAAACCAAAAAAGTTCATCTTCTTGCAAAAACAAAAAAAAATAGTATTTTTCCGTCAAAACCAAAAAAATTATTTTCCCGCAAAAATCGAGAAATCGTCTATTCCCACCAAAACAAGAAAAAAATATTTTTCTCGTCAAATCAAGAATCACGCCTTCCTACCAAAACCGATAAACTACAATTTTCTGCAAAAACTAAAAATTGCATTATCTCCTGAGAAATTGCGTTTCCCACGAAAACTAAGAAATCATATTTTCCCTCGAAAACTAAAAATCAAATTATATGTCAAAAACTGAAAATTTGCATTTCCCATCAAAACCAAGAAATTGTTTATTTCCGCCAAAATCGAGAAATTTTACTTTTCTATCAACCCGAGAAATTGTATGTTCTGCCAAAATTGTCAAATTACAATTTTCCGCAAAAATCAAGAAATTACACTATCCATCAAAAGCCGAAAAATTGCATTTGCTATCAAAACCGAGAAATCGTATTTTTCGTCAAAATTGAAAAGTTGCATTTTCCTCACATTTTCTCGTCAAAATCAAATTTTTTATTTCTCACTAAAACCAAAAATTCACATTTTGCCACCAAACCCGAGAATTCGCTTTTTTCCGCCATAACCGAAAAACTATGTTTTCCTACCAAAACTAAAAATCACATTTTTTTACCAAAACCAAGAAATTCTCTATTTCCGCCAAACCCAAGAAAATTTGTTCTCGGTAACCAGTGGAAATGCGAATCTCCAAGCTGTGGTGGTCTGAGTTCTCCTCATTTGCTTTCGCCTTTCATTTTTTTTTTGTAAACTTTGGGCTTTTTAATGGGTCAGCAAAATAGTAAATTGATTTTATTTATGTGTTAATAATATGTATTATTGTTATGTTTTTATTGGTTCAAGTTTTTGCTGATGTGTGAACTTCTTATAACATAACGCTTTTTGCATTGTTGTTATGGAAACATAGTTGATGATGAGTATATACTTTCTTCAATCATATACATCTCTATCAAGCAAACACATAGTTAGAAATTTTAAATTTTTTTTCTGTTATTTATTATTTGAGTTTCGGTTTGGCAAAAATATAAAACAAAGATTTAATTTTATTATTTGTTGTTATTTATTATTTGGGTTTGTTAAAAAAATAAAATAATTTTTTTTATTTGCTGTTATTTATTATTTGGATTTGGGCTTGACCAAAAAATAAAACTAAAATTAATAATAAAAAATATTTGAGTTTTTAATGGGTTTAAATTTAAAAGTTAAAATAAATTGATGACTTGTATTAATGAAATGTTTTTATTGGTGTTTTTTTTTTGCTGAAGTGTCATCTCCTAAAAGCTTGAAAATACTGATGTGTCAAGCCATGGAGAGACTTATGGGTTATTGTTGTGTTGACTAGGTATTTACCCGCGCTATGATGCAGGATGTTATTCTAAATTTTATATATTTTAACAATAAAAAAAATATTTTTTACAGTATAAATAAATATTATATTTATTTTTTTATTTAGCATAGTTTTGGATTTATACCCTATTTATTTCTCCATCTATATGGTTCATCTGAAATAAAAATGAAAATTTTGTTTGTTTTGTAACAAAATCAAAAAATATTTAGATGAATTATCTAGATGATTTTTCAAGATTTAGATAAATTTATGAAAATTATCTGAATGAACCAAATTGTACCATCTTGATGGAGATGTTTCAGTTCAAAATGACAAATGACTAAAATACTCTTAAATTTAAAAATAATAAAAGAACCTAAAATCATATTTTTCGAAAAAACCACAAATTATTTTTTTCTAACGAAACCTGAAAAAATTGTATTTTTTTTTCTAAACCGGTAAAATCATATTTTCTGGTAAAATCGAGAAATCGCATTTTTCAACCAAAACTTAAAAAACACATTTTACTATTATAAGTTTACTTATGATCATAAATTTTTCTACTCGCAAGTTATATTCATATTTTTAATTATGAAACTTTTAATGCATGTTTTTCTTACACTAACTAAAATAATTATTTTAACATTAATATTTCTTTAGCATTAAAAAAATATTTAGTAAAAAACCACAAATGAAACAACAATTCACATTAGCTTACATATTTACTATAGCTTAAGTTTATATATTGACCAGATCGCTACCTTGAGCTCTAGAAATTAAAAAAGCTACAAAATATATCGAAAGAAACCAAATAACCATGTCAAATGTTTGAAGCTCGTATTTCATTGACCTCAGATCTTATAAATTTATTTTTCTTCAGTTCTTCTTCTCTCACATATGCTAGAAACAAGTCTAGCAACTACGAAAATGGCTTCACAATGTCGCAATTCCTCTCATTCTCCAAATCATATCAGCGTTTCTTGCATCTATTGAATCATAGTCACTGGTCGAGATTTAGGCGGTTGGCAACTTTTTCGATCAGATCTCTGATACCTTTAAACATAATATATTTGCTTTCAAAAACTTAATACACTTTCAAATATTTATTCATAAGTATACAATAACTTGATTAAAAATACTCATTCTTTTGATAATTAATTAAATTTGGTGCACTCTCTCTTTGTCAAAGTATACAAAATTATTTAATTTCAATATATAGAAAACATAATTTTCTGGATTTTTTACTTTTTCTCATATCTTTGCTTTAAACATGTAAACATTAACATTATCATACCTAAACACTAGTCACACTTATATGCATATCTCAAACCTTCAAACTTCACACTATATTTAGATATAGTTTTATTAGTAAGCCATATGATAGATATGATACAGGAGTAACACCCAAATACAAAGGCCCAAAACATTAAAGTAATAAACGCAAGCCTAAATACAACTTAAACTACATATGATGTTACTGTAATTGGATATCTCATCCGTCTTTAGCATCAGGGACAAAGCTTTACCAATTCAAAGCTTCAACTTTCAGAAAATTCATCATCACAATGCGATTGTAGATCTTTTTCAAACTCTTTCGAGAACCACCATATCT